CAAAGGCTCCTTAATATCAACATACTCGCCTTCCACTGTCGTATCCCACACCGGCATGTACACCATCACTGCCAAGAACCACGCGTGCGAAGGGACGTACACGTACTTAGCCGTCAGGTCTAGGTCATCGGCTACGGACATCAACCCCGTACCTAAAAAGTCAACGATCATGACCGTTGGTTTTGGCTTCATTGATTCCACGGCCTCTCGAACCGCGGACTTCGTGGCTCGTATCTTCACCATAATCTTAGTGAACACCGTCGCATCTGGCTCCACGAGGTTGTCTATATCCACTGAGGGAAGTTCTGTAATTTGACAGGCCGTTCTCGCAGCGGCTACACGTATGGCTTCGGTTTCTGCCGATGAAGAGGAGCCTGAGGTGATGGCAAGAATGGTGACGTTGACGTTTAGGACGGAGGAGAGACGGTTGCCGAGCTCGAGGATAGGGATGAGGTGACCCAAGCCAGGACTAGCCACTAGAACGACGTTAGGCTGATCCATGATCTTATTATTTAGAGGTTCTGATAAAAATTACAATAAATCAAAAAGAGTTTAAAAAAGAAAAAGGTTCTTGTTATGTTACGTGAGAGGTTCCACCACTTACCTGCACTCGTGTCAATGGCACTGCATGGACTGGGATAAGACCACTAGACCATATAGAGTGTATATATATTCAAATAAAGTGTTACGTTTGCCAAGCTCTTAACAAATGATATTTATTATTATGCGGTACAGACAAAAACATTTTGTTAATGCATGAGACGTACCTTTCAGTAACGACAATGCCAAATTTTGTATTGAGGCATAAATTTGTGGACGAGAAGAAAAAGAAGAATCTACACGTTCCCATGTTTCGCAGTTTGTTTCAAATAAGTCCATTCACAAATCACAAGAACAATGAAAGATGATGATGACATGTGAATGTACACATGCCTTGCCATAAACCTGACACATTTCTCCCGTTGATCACCGCAGCACACAAAACGAGGAGGGGTTTATTAAAAAGTTATATACAAAAAACAACTCATGATTTTATTAACAAAAAACAGGATTTCTATTATTGTATATGTTTGCATGTGAAAAATAAATAGCTATTTTTTGGTTTTTCTCGCACGGAAAATTCTGAATCAAAAATTGAATTGATATCACTTAAAAAAAACGACATTAAAACAAGATTAAAACTTCGAAACAATAATTTTTGTGAAACGAAAGAAGTATATCATTATATGTTTTCATGTGAAAATGAAACAGTTTATATCTTAGTTTTTCTCACACAAAAAATCCTGAATCGAAAATTGAATAAAAAAACATATATATATATATATATATATATATATATATATATATATATATATGAGAATGAAAATATATAAATCGTGAAATTTGTAGTGGTTAAAATTAAAGTAGCCAGCAAGAAAAAAATGAGAATGAAAATATATAAATCGTGATATTTGATATACCGTATACGTCGTACGGCATATATGACTAGTCTAGTAGTGAAAATTATTGTACTATTGTTATGAAAATCATTGTACCATCAGTCCTATTGTTTTCTAAATCATTGTACCATTTGAATTCATTTACACATTGTTAGCATGCGGGTCACCCGATCATCATGCGTTTAAAATCTTAAGCTAATTAGAAAATATATAGGAAATATATATATTAATGGTATATATTTGGACACTTTTGTGTTCTTTACTCTAGTTAATATATCATAGTATTAAAACTATAGTTAGAATAATTATATAGATTCTTATAAAAAAATGATACACAATACATCTGGCTAATTTCTTAAACTAAAATAAAAATTAATATAAATAATATATTTAGAGATAGAGATAAATCTTCTTAAACTATCTTCTAGGTTCTTCTCGAACTTCATTATTTTCATATTGTTGAGCAATCATCTCGAACGCCGATTTTTCAACCAACTTTCGGCGCTCCATCTCCCATCAGGTCTGTATTTAAAAATCCGATAAACAGTTTGTTTTTTCTTCTCTCTAAAACCCATTATCCATTATAGAATATTTTTTTTTCTTGTCAAATCCATTCAAAAACCTTTTGTAAGGTTTAAGATCTGGCAATATACTGACTTCTTTTTTGTTCACATGTTTTTATTGCATGAATTTGTAAAGCTTATCAATTCTTATGGAGAATATTTTATTTTTCTCTAACTTATTTGGTCTTTGTTAACTGCTTAAATAATTTAGATGCTATAATTAATTTTATAAATATTATTGGTTATAAATGTATTATACTATCATTTTATAGTTTATGTCTATAAACATAATAATCACATTTCTATCTAATATATGTCAATTTACTGTTTGTACTTAGGTAGTAAAAAGACGATTAATATTTATTTATTTTATGATAAGTTGAGATAGTATTCTCATATTAGTGACAATCAGTTTACCAATTAACTCATCTAGGTAACAATATTTGTACACTAAATTCAAATGTCTTATTATTCGTTCTTGAATATAATTTGTCTAAACTAAGATTACAAAAAGATTACTATTACATAATTTTAGTTTTGTATTTTATAATTTTCCATGGTAAAATCTATAACAACCAATTGATATATATGTGTGACTAACTAAACAGCTCTTGATTATGGAGCTCAATCCACAAAGTTAATGCAAACATTAAATTTTTCTATATGCACCTCCTTGCTTGTGTTTATCGCATACTGTCATCAAAATGAAACTAATAATCACAAGTAATATGGTTAGCCTCATAATAAATAATGTTTTTAGTCTCAGAATTTTAAATCTAGTACGAAAGAATCAGTAACTGGTTTTACAATTGAAAACATGTTGAAATAATGAAACTCATATGGCCCTTAGACCATGATTATCAAGGGATTTTTAAAAACCTCTTAAGCTAAGAAAAGTGATGAAAAATTAAGAAAAGTTAATATATGTTTCTTGTATAAGAGACTTCTTTCAACTTTTCTTAACTTTTTTTAGCCTAAGATTTTACTAAAAGCCTACCAATAATGATGCTTATGTATCAGCTAAGCTATATATATAATTTGACTTTTCAATTTTCACTGTAAACTTTATGACAACTACTTGATATGTATTGAATAGAACATTCACTACAACAATATTGGATTTCGGCATGGTCATAATAACGCTATCTAACAGTACAATAACATTTTGAAAAGTGTTCTATTATCGCCCGTCATAATAGGTTGATGATGTAATATAACATAATTTCTTTTGCATACTGGGAGTGCGAGACTAGAGTTGCAACAATGAAGTTGGTCGAGACAATTTTTATGTGTTACTCTTTACATAAACAAAAAATATATGCAAAACCAGTTTCACGAGAACGGAAACTAAAAGAAAAAATAAACAAACGATTTGAAACTGTTTCATGAGAGACTACTTACATATTCTAAGACATAGGAGTCATCACAATACAATTTGATCCTTTTCAGATCATTTCCAAAGCCCACAACCCCTTACAGAAGAATCACAGACAATGTAAGAGGCTTATGTAATTTGTAACTTTGCATATTGTTTTTTTTGTTTGTTTTTAGTTTAAGTTGTGGATGCCAAATTTTTGTTTACTGGCGGCATTGCTAACATTTTTATCACTTTAAACATGGCATTTGCTATTTAACACCATGTTAAAAAGTTTTTGTAAAGCCTAAAAAAAAAAAAAAGTGGAACTATATTTTTTCACAAGCATATATTATAACATTTTAAAATTTTAAAACGCTATTGAAATATTATTGATAAATCTACTATAGCTATAAATCGTTTCTTATAATTCTATTAAATCAGATATCACTTGATTACATTGCTCAACACACAAATTAATCTTTCGAATATGACAGATTAGAACCATACTGGTGCTTAATATTTCAATTTCACAGCAGTACTGCCTTGCACACTCGTTATTTTTTTAGAACTCACAACATCGTTGTTCTTTGATAAAACGACAATTTGATACAACAAAACAAAAGCTTTCATGATTGTGCTTTGTTTCAGTAAGCATCATTTTCCCTTTTCTAATATGCTTTTAGAAAGAATGAATTTAGTAGATGAATTAATATAGTGCAAACTAATGGCTAGTAGTTAGGAATTACGATATTAAATTTAAATTTACCTTTGGTATAATATTTCGCCATCAAAGCCATCTGACTTAATTTTTTATTATTATATATATTTGATAAATCTTGCCGATACAAAAGCCATAACCGAAGTCACACAGTTTCATGCGCTAAACAATATATAGCAATAAGCCAATATTATCAGTAGAATAAACGTGCCAGTATTACCATTTGACTTGATTTCTACATATATACTTGAATCTACATAATGTATATGGCAATAGAAATAGAAAATGAAATTTCAAATAATATTGGTGGAATAAAATAATTGAATACTAATAACTCATTTCAATTTCAGGTTGAGTTATAATTATGGTAAATCGGTATTAATAATAGAAAAATAGTTAGAGCTAGCTTGATGGCACATATATATACTTATTATTGCTGACATGGTGCTAGAGGTGCATTTGCACTAGGTGTTTTCAAAATTTAATATTTTGGTCTTTTTCATCCCAAATAATTTAATATGATCAAATAAGACAATATAAAATACATATATGCATATATATCATTTGGTTTTGAGACTATAAATGGTATAAGACCCTAGTCGATATGTATTATCGTCACAAACTCTTATGTATTTGATTATTTTGTTCTTTTTGTTTTAGGATAGAAAGATTGAATACATAAGAGTTTGTGACGATAATACATAATGACATTACTAGATTACCTTTCGTCACACCAGATCTAGTTAAAGATTGAGACTGCAAGTAATGTTAAGACATTTAATTATCCTACAGGTTGATGTAATATTGACAAAATATAATGTTATCTATAATGTAAATGTGAATTAATATTAGTAACCTAATATAATTGAACTACATATCTTGTATGTATAGCACAATATTACATACCTCTAAGTTTATCAGTATACGTATCAAAGAGTCGTTTGATATTAGAAACAAATTGTGGTCATTATATTATACATTTTCCTCGAATTAATGTAAAACACGACATTGTCTTGCCCATTCGAGGAGAGAGCTATGAGATGACCCACCAAGAGTCCAAGCTCGTTCGGAGCTAACCCTCATCTTCTCAGCTTTAGCCCTAATCTTACGTCCATCCTCTTCCACTATAATCTCATTCACTAAAAACGCCACTTCTTCTCTGCCTATCACTCTCTTCGACGGTAACTCTAACGTACGAATGGCCACACCGATCTCCTCTGTTAGCAATGTGGCATTCATCCATTGCTCTGCGTAAAGAGGCCATGCAACTATCGGAATTCCTTTAGTCAGACTCTCCAACACCGAGCTCCAACCACAATGAGACAAGAACCCACCGATCGATTCATGGCTCAAGATCTCAACTTGCGGTGCCCATTGTGTGACAACAAGCCCCACACCACATGTGCGGTCCAAGAAACCTTTAGGTAAACTAGCAATCACCTGATCATCATCATCATCGCTCGAGGTTTCCCCGAGGTAAGAAGCCGGCCTACGTAGAACCCATAGGAACCTTTGACCACTTAACTCTAAACCCCAAGCAAGTTCCATCGTTTGCTCAAACGATAATTTTCCACCACTTCCTAAACACACATAAACCACTGACTTTTCTTGTTGCTTATCTAGCCACTCAAATATACTATTGGGCTTTTCAACATGCCCATTAGTTCTAACAATAGGCCCAATAGGATAAACCGGTACTTTCATGACCCGGCTCAACTCCTTGTCCTCTCTAAACGCAGTGAGAGTGTTTCCTTGTAATTCCTCTAGATTTGAGAAAGATTATGAATTCAATAATTTAAAGAATAACTCTCTTTATTTGCTTAAGAAAATAACTCAAAACTTAAGCTTTCTAAAACCCTTAATCTCTCTCTAATCTCTTAAGGTTACCACAACTTTGATAACTCATATATATAGAGAAGAGATAATCCTTATTCTAATAGGAATTGTATCTAGATAACTCCTAAACACAATCTAATCCCTAAGTCATAACTCAACTAGGAATAAGTAGCTTGTCTCCTAAGTCTTCTTCTTCAAGCTTATCCCAACAATCTCCCCCTTAAGCTTGAAATCTTTCTTTGACAAGCTATGGACTCCAATGAGATCTCTCATTACCTTGAACTTGTTCTTCTCAAGTGCTTTAGTT